ATGACTTCTAAATTGGACTTTAATGCTCGTTTTTTTTGCTTTGGACAGACGGGACTGTTAATATTGTGACATAGATTTCTTTGACCGGAGTGTCTATAACCTATATCATGTGTTGGGGCTTCTCATGATTTGGCTCGATATCTGACCACTATGTATAATCTCTCTTTAAGCATGTTTAATAAATTGTAACAAAGAATATAGAGGATGAATATGAGGAGGATAAAAACGTCGCCAACTGAACTATCCATAATGGATTACCCCAACTATTTCTCTTTTCCCTTTTCTTTTTTGTTGTCGTCAAGCCACGAAATATCAGGTTAATTTCTTTTCTAAGAATCAGCTCCGAACCAATAAATTTCAGATATCATTTATATCCAACTGTAGCATCATCATAATGCCATTTTTCGTTAGCACCGATTTAACAGAAACAGGAAAGAAATTAACCTACGTGTCATAAGTAGTTAGCACTATGAAAAGGGTAAAAAAAAAAAAAGAAAAAGAAAAAGATCTTTTCTCGGCCAAGCAAGCAATGTGAATTGGATCCAGATTGCAGATGCCAAGTTGAGCGTTTCTGTGCATTAATCAAGGTCAATTATTTATTTTCGTACGTTCGCTGCTTTGACTACTACAAGAGGGTTGGGGATCAAATAGCTTTTTAATTTACGATTTATGGTAGAATGCATATTTTGAACAGTACTAAAACGAAAGAATTCAAATATTTTTGCCACCGTTTTCGTGGTAGAATTTTCTCTCAAAACGACGATTTTTAAATCAAAACCCTATAGGGGAGACTCTGATCTGTAGATACATTCTACAGTATACACATTCAAATACATAACGTGCAGATCATGTAACATGCGAAAATATCATGTTGAGTTGCTGAAAGGATATGAGAAAGACTTTGTAAATTAGGTCGGGTCACCAGGAATAACGTGGAGAGAGGGTTTCTGGAACATGTTACTGTCTCGAATGCTGTACGTTGTCAAACACACATAAGTAAGTAAAGGGTTAAACAATTGCAAAATCGTTTACAAGAGAGTGAGACAACTTATGGCCATAATCTTTAACATGCATGGCTTGGATTTTCCTTACATCTTGGTAATGGTATAGGTATCCACAAGATTAGGTGGTATGGATCGATCAAAACTCTTGATGGCGTGGCTAAGTCTCGGCCATCTTATATTAATTGTATTAATTAGACAGTTACTCTTGAATTTGTTGAAACTCCATATGGTAGGTAGGTACATTGTGGATCTGCATTAATAATAAATGAACAAAACAATCTCTCCATAAACTTTTGGTGCCAGGGTGTACGTAGAATATTAACCAATACCGTTGAATTTCTGTTTCAAGCTACTCTAGCCTCCTCAAATTTCCTGGTGAAATTAATATATAGCCCGTGAATATGGATGGAGGGCTCCAAATCCGGCCAGAAGAAAATCGGCATACATAAACGTTCGGATTGACGTCGATCTCGATTGTTATATAACTTTCGACAAAGCAAATTCGGCAAATTTTCTTTTAACTTATTATGCGTGTGCTTAATTATGTATTTATATTGAAAAGTAACTAATTTACTTTAAGCGTCCGGGAGTAGCCATCCTTCAATCGCCAATCGATAACGGTGAACGGGTTTCCGTTGAAAGGTACAGAATTTGAAGACTTTCTATATTTCCTGTCCCATCACCCTTGGAGTTCCGTTGGGTTGATGAGCTTCGGATGCAAGTAGTATAAAATATTATAAATCAATAATGAGTTCGTGGAAATTTCTTTATCGTGAATTAGACGAAATGCAAGGCTACAAGTAAAGCTGAATCTTAACGTCCGCCTGAACTGCACAGTTGTGCACTCATACGTCAGACCAATCTACATCATCATATGTATTAATTTGACCAAAAACTATTATACTTCTACCAATTTACTTATTCCAAGATAAATATGTGTGAGACAAAAAAATTCTCTAATTAAGAAAAAACTAGTAAACATGCGGTTTGAACTTTGCAAGTCTTAATTAGTACTAGTATTTAATGGTTTCATCATTTCATGCATGAGCTATGACGTCATCTTCGTTTCTGGGCAAATTTCTCGGTAGTTGCTTAATTAATTCAACCCCGAATCTCAAATTGCATGAAATCGACTGCGCGCATGCGTGGCTTAGGATTAGGAATTCCATTCCAGCTATACATACATAGATACTTGTTAGATAAGCCTGCCGACTCTGTTTTAAGTCTTAGACAGACTAGTGGTCCTTCAACAGGAACTGCGAAGAGCCATCCGCGCATGCCTGTGCCCTTGACTCTTTCCTATTGCAGGGGATTTGCTTGTAATAGTAGTAATACATATGGATGGATTCAGTGTTCCAAACTGCTCCCGCAAAGTGCGGGGGACTCTCCGGCACCTACTAGCTAGTAATTTCTACTACTTAGTTTACATAACTTTCTGCGTAAACCTTTTTGCTCTTTCAGCCGTATATTCTGTAATCTTAATTTTAACCACTGCATCAAAACTTTCTCGACAATAAAATTATATAAGCTATTGGAGTCCCAATACAAAGCAATTTATCTTCTTCTTTTTTTTTTTTTTCTAAAGGACATGCATTCCAGTTAAAAACAAATAGAGTGTAATACGTCATCCACAATTTTTCTAAAGAACGTCCATTGAACACTTGTTAATTCATCTAAATCACACATAATATATCATATGAATGCATGCACTAATAATTAAGATATTTCTTTGTATTTATACACTTATTCTAATATTAACTTTACTTTTTAAAAAAACTTAACATCTCAATTATATCTTAATTAATGACTGCCCGTTAGACACTCAGCCATAAGTTAATCATCTTCGCTTGTTTCCTAGGACTACATGCATTTAGTTTCCATCACGTCATGTTTACTAGATGGAACAAGTCAGCTCACTTTGCATTAATCCCATCACTTACTACGTATCTTCTTAAATTCCTAGACATCAAATTTATCAATTTTTTTTTTTTTTTTACAAGTATCAAATTTATCAAGTTATTAAACCTACATTACGACACACGTTTAACCCAATCATGAAAAACAACTTAGCAAATCGTGTTTAAAATGGCCTGAGAGCGATTTTATTAGTCATGTCCGGTGTGTAAAACACCTTACGCTTACAACTGTTGAGGCTGGGTCCTTTCTTTTTGCTGATCAATCATCCAAAATTACCAAAAACAAGTAATGTTGCAAGCGGTGGCTGGTGGAGTTGCTTGTGGCAAACCGTCTCTCTCTTTCTCTCTCCCTGTTTTTAATAATTGGTAATTAGGAGCTCCAGCAAAACCACGTTTACATAAAGGGCTTTGGATTAACATCTGGAAGAGTCGGCTCCCAAAAAAGATATATATATATATCTGGAAAATTCATTTTATGTTTGCCGTGTAGAGTTGAAACTTGAAACATCAACTCTTCCACTGATGTAAACGTGATTCAACAAGTGCTAATAATTACTCCCTAATTGTCCCTTTCTTTGTCTTGGAAATCACGCGGACAAACAGATGAGAGAACTTAACGGCTAAATCTAACCGAATGGCTTCGTGTCTTAACTTTATACATTTTAGTGGCCAAAATCAGACTTTTAACAGTTGAGTGACCAAAACTCAACGATCGTAAAAGTTTAGTGGCCAACCGGATAATTTGCTCTAAGATTTGAACTTGAATTCGAACTTGTCTCAAGCCCAAAAACACGAATTGAGGCCGACAACATTGAAGTTCGATTAGTTTCATTTGCCGTCCTGGCTTCAGCCTCGACTCATCACGTGGAAAAGGTCCGTTTCTGTTGGGCTGCGGAACTTCATACCCGGTGTTGGAAGATGGACACCTGATGATCCAAAGCCTTTTTTCAAGTTGGGCAAATGACGGATGTACCGGCTTTCAACTTTTCCAAATGCCTAACCCAGTAGAATAAGTATCCAAAATCTGGGATGCTAGCAGCCCAAGCTGTGTTTCATATGAGGTTACATCTCTCTCGCTTAGCAATATGAAACCCATCATCAACATCTCGGCATATGACGGTTTCAAGTTTACTTTTGGAATACTGCTTATTCAGCTTATTTTCATGAAAACAAGGAAAATGTATTCACTTTCCCTTGGGAGGGATTGAAAGGAAAGCAAGTAGCTGCAATTAAACGGAATCAACCGTTGCTGCATCCGGTGAGGGGTGATAAATGTTGATCTCCCATCCAAACACATTGTTAATTGGCTTATGGGCATGTTTATAAGTTGTTAGTTCGTTCGTGACTAGACTAGAATACTGCCGATTCTTGCTATTTAACCGGAATAGGGGAGGGAAACAAGAGTACGAAATTAAGGTTGTCTCAACTTTCTTTTATGGGAAATCCTTGGGTGGTCGACAATAATTCGTTGCTGCAGCCTGGCTTCCCTTTTATTTTTTGTGTTTTTTCCTTTTAACTTTTTCTTTTCTCTGAGGTAAACTGTCTTATCCACTGAGTTAACGCACGTAACAAATTACAATCACTGAAAAAAAAGTACTGCCAAGATGTCACCCCAGCCGTTGCCCCTCCCCCGTTAAAATCCTTTCAAAATTGACCGCTACTATAACATGGGAAATCGAAGATTGATCATCCACCTCCTCCTCTGACGCAAGAATAGGCAAGATTTCGGACAACACCATGAATTGCCTGAACTCGAACCCATTTCCTATGTTACTTTTTCTTCTCTCCTTCTTCATCTTTGTGAACTTCCTTTCCCTCTCATATGGTGATTCTCAAGATCATTACAACCTCCAACATGCAAGTATTCCAGGTACCACACATTGGACTTCTGTATTGTTCTGTATTAATTTATCCGCCGTCAAAGGTGCATGCGTTTATATTCTAAACTTTGTTTCTCATTTCATGCATTAATTAAGGCTACAGGTGTAAAGTTTAATTCGTTTTCTAGATGCGTGCTCAATTTGACATTCCATTTTTTTTTCTATTTCTTCTTCTTCTTTTTATAGAGCTTCTTGATACGAGAATGCATCATCATGCGGCAGTCGAAGGTAATACGAGGAGGATAGGTGCTGAAACCACCAGCCAGAATTCCACGTATCTAATATTGGCTGCAAATAGAACCCACCGGAAAGATCCTACTGATAGCTTCAATTACTACACTGGCGGTTGGAACATTACCAATCCACATTACATATTTGTGAGCTTTCCCCAATTTTATGCTTGAACAGTACGATCACATTTTTATCTTTCTTTCCGAAATTATGCATTATCTAGCTATTCAATTACATCAATTCGTCTTTAAATTCAACTAGCGGTGTAAGTTTATTGATGATTAAAAAAAAGGTAGGTGTTTTATTTTACCTGACAAGATATATGAATATGATATTCAGAATTCTTTGCAGTCGGTATTGATAGAGCAAATGCATGTCCATTTTTTTTTTCCATATTCTTTCTATTGATCCTTTATGGTATACGCTCACATTTTCTTTTATCTGTTTCCTATATGTACGCCCTGTCTTGTGTTTAGCGTTCGTGATGTCCAACACTTTCTATTATACATTCCTATCCAAATTTTTATTTCTTTTGCAGCTTCCGCACCTTTATAGACCATTGCAATCTGCAATGGATTTCCCTCTTCTTTCTAGCATTTTTCTACAGGTTTGATCCACTGATATTTATTATGCTTATCTTGCTTTGCCTTGTAGTCTGTTGCTTATTCAGCTACTGGCCCTTTCGTCTTTGCTGTTGTATGGTTCATATTCTTCGCAGTATTCCTGCTTTGCTTCTGCTGTCGTTGTTGCTTCTGCAGCAGAAACAGTTACGGCTATTCTCGAACTGCCTATGCTGTCTCCGTTACTTGCCTTGCCATTTTCACCATTGCAGCAATGTACCGACTCTTTTTCTCTCTGCCTAGCTAGTTTCTTCATCTCTTATACCATTATTGAAATGTGTTTTAAATCCCAGAACGATCTGCATTTTTATAGAAACTATGGATTTGTTGTGAAACTTTTCTGCATTTCATTTTAGAGCCGGAATTGCTTTTGTTTTCGCGGGCCAAGACAAATTCCAGGACAGCATTGTGAACACAACCAGCTTTGTTTTGCACGAGGCAGATGATGTCATTGTGAAGCTGGGAGACGTGCTTCATGATCTTCTGGCCGCGAAGAATAGTAGTGTTGGACGAGCAGTCTTACCTGATGATTTAAAGGCTGATATTGATAGTACTGGGAAAACGATTAATGCTGTAACTGCTCAATTTCGGAATATCACCACAAAGAATTCGCAGGACATTCGCAGTTTGTTGAGTCCCCTGTACTATCCCGTTCTTATATCTCCCTTCTGTGTTCTTGGATTGCTGCTAATTTCACTATTCGCCACATCTTTGGTCCCTTTTTCTTTGGGGGGTCTTAAGCAAATCTTTAACCTTAATTTTTGTACAGGAGATTGATGTTGATTTACGTTGCTTCTGCTTTGCTCATCTTGGCAGTCCTCGGATTCTGTAAGTTGTTTGCATTTGTTCAAGGATTTGAACATGGCTTTTCATATTTCAAACATCTCATCGAAGTGTCAATGATTGGTCGGGGCTCTTGTTTGTCACAGTACTTTCCATTCTTGGGCTGGGATGTTTGGTATACAGGCGAGTATAATTTCATGAAATCCTGGCTTGCTACTGCAATAATCCCGAGAAAGCAGTTGAATGTGCTGTTATTCTTATGTCTGCTGATCAAGCTATATTTCCCATTGGCGCAGCTTGGCAGTAGTTGGATGGATTCTGGTAGCAGCTACGTTTATGATGAGTGGCGTGTTTCTTCTTGTGCATAAGTAAGTCAGGAGTTTATGTTCATCATGGAAAAAAAAAACTCCATTCACCTGTGGTCCTCTGATAGTGTTAGCTTTGATCAATTTAAGAAGATACTACTAATTTCTTTTGTTATTTGCTTATCAGTGCCGTTGCAGACACATGCGTAGCCTTGGACGAATGGCTCCAGAATCCAACTGCCCATTCAGCCCTTGAAGCAATAATCCCCCAAGTAGATAATCAAACTGCTCAAGAGATCTCCTCAGTGACAAAGGGTGTTACTTTCGGCGTGGTCGAAATGCTTAATGGAATAATAACCAACGTCTCCAACGCGGATGTTCCCCCAGATGTTGGCCCCCCCTTATACTTCCACCAAAACGGCCCCTTGGTCCCTGTTGCTTGCAACCCATACGACTCCAATTTGACCGACAGGAAATGTGCAGATGGCGAAGTCAGCTTGAAGGATGCACCGCAGGTGTGTTTTCGGAATCCCTCATCTTTCTAATCGCCGCCAGAACCAGTAACTAGATTCTCATTTTGCAGGTATGGAAGAAGTATGTTTGTCAAGTTTCTGGTGGGATATGCAGATCACCGGGCAGAATAACTCCTGATAATTACGACCAGCTGGCTAGCACGGCAAATATCAGCTATGCTTTATACGAGGACACGCCATTTGTGGTGGGCTTGATAGACTCCACGTATCTGAAAGAATTGTTTGGTGATATTAGTAGAGATTACTGCCCAGGTTTGAGCAAATTTACCAGTTGGATGTACCTTGGCTTCATCTCTTCCTCAGTTGCGGTAATGTTATCATTGCTGATATGGATATTCTACGCCAGAGAGCGAAGGCACCGAGCATACACCAAAAAGGTTGACAGCAGATCCTCAGCTGAAAACCCTTTTGCTTCCTGAATGAGCAAATGGGGCCATAGATGATTTTTGTTTTCATTTTTTGTTCCCTGTTCCTCTTCTTCTCCGTTTTTCTAAGTGGATACAAGTGCAGAAGTAGCAGCATTTTAGATCATATATATCATCGTCATAGGATTTACTAGTTTGAACCTGGGTACCATTATAATAATAAAAGTCACATTATCAATCAAATAAAATATCGTGTGAGTCGAGTCCAACTTGTAATTAACAGTGTAGGACGACCATCATTAATCCGAGAAAAAAGTCTAATCTGATATCAGGACTAAAAATATAAATACACCCAAAACCATTTTTAGCTTTCTGGTTATCAATAGTTCTACAAGTGCCATTATAGATCATCACTTCTGTCTGCTTTCTGGTTTCTTTTGTTATTTTCCTCTCTATTTAGAGGGGGGAAGGTGGAACGGGGTGAATAAAAGGAGGAGCATGGACTTGGGCATACCAACAACATAGATCAAACCTGATCTGAATTCAAATGTTGTGCGCATAAAGTCGGATCAGAAGTTTCAGGGCATATGCAGCAAAAAATACACGCATATGATATCCCGCTCTTCTCTTCGAGCGTTATTCAACGTCAATAATACGCGATTCCTGGCGTAAAACTTTTAGTCAGTCTTTTCTTCTCGAACCCAAAATATTATAGGCTTTGTTCACTGCAGAATGTGGGAAACGCGCGCGCATTACTTTGGTCCAAAATCTAATCTAGACTCTATGATGAATGATTGAATGATCAAAGCCCCCCCATAAATATAATCAACATTCCCAGGGTTTCCAGTAGTGTTTGCTACCACAACTGTGTATTCCAAGCTTGAAAGATTCCAACTTTCAACCTATAGATAGTTGATACTGGCTCATGGGCTGGGGAATTAGCTTCCTCATCCAAGGGCCACAACAGCCAGGCAAGTGGGAGAGACTGGCCCCTACGTAGTCATTCGATCTTTTTTTCTTCGTTAGCTACGAGCTGTGAAAATTTTAAGAACGTAGGACCCAAATTAAAATCATTACTAGGGGAGAAAAATCAACTTTCAGGTGAGGGAGATGATAATATGTAATGTTTATGCTTTTAAAGTTATCTAGTTGCATCGATCGAATCCTGTTCTTTTTTATTTTTTTTGGCGAATTCTATCATCTATTCAAACAGCAGCCTTGGGCATGGACAATAATACTTTAGTAAATAGATAAGAAGGGAAGAATATGAATCTCATAGTTTTTGGGTGCGATTTGTGGTGCTAATGATCGATCATATGCAACCATAAACAGACGATTAGCTGTACCCATTGCAAAAATCCCTGCCAAAAAAAAAAAAAGAAAAAAGAAACTCAATTCCTAAACGGATTGCGTTTGTGGGCTCTAAGTTGGAATGATGGAGGGCCTGAACGGCTGGTGCTCTCCGACTTCAGGTACCAATCGCGGATGGCGATTTGCAGCATCTCCCCAGTGAAGTATCACGGTCGAGAGTCGGTCGTGTTTCGTAATCGTCTAGCATTTCAGGTCCAGATCATGTCCGCTAATCTTGGCGAGTAATACTTTTCCAACCTATTAATTGATTGATGAGATGAATTGATGATCCCCACATACAAAGCCCCCCGCACCATGGCCCTCGGTCCAGAAAAGATGGGGCATACGACGTCTGGAAGCTTGAGTGCGGAAAGGTACTATATTACTATTACATAGGCAATGGTAATATGGGTTTCAGTTACAGTTAATCAATTCCGATGTTATGCTTATGGTTAATTTTTTTTTTTTTTTTTTTTTTTTATCGACGGAGTGGGTGTTCGGGTCAAGTTCGTAAAGGCGGCCCGACTAATCCCACTCCGGCCCGGTTCAGCGCCCCAACCAGACCTAACACCTTAGATGCACGGAGAAGCCGATGTTACTGCGGAGGTTCGACCCCAGGACCTGACGGCCCCGAGGAAGAGGCGCCACAGGAGGAAGTCGGCACTGAACAGTACATATAGCAGGTTGGGCTGCGGCTTTTTCAACGCAATGCAACTGCTTGATTGACTTGAAGTCTTGAAATAATAGAAGTCAATTTGATGCATCCCTGCACCTTAATGTCTTCAGTTGACTCATTTAATCAAATTATTGATGAGACCCATTCTCTGGCCTCCAAGTTCCGGTCTAGCTCGTCAGATCAATCGGTCAAATTTTAGACAATTGGCAACTTGGAAGTTCAATTACTTGGTCCCCTCGTCAGAATTCCAAAACAACTTTTGCAATTGCCCTTTATTCCTTTTCTGTGTTGTGGGGGGGGGGGGGGGGTGGGGGTTTTGTTCTTTCCAAAAACTGACGGCTTGAACGCGTTTGATACCTGCAATTGCTAAGGAATGTATTAAGAATTTTTAAAAGATACCTTCCTTTGGCGGTGGATGTAGAGATTTGATTAATGTTTCTTCATGCGCCATGCTACTCTAACAAAGGTAGTATTATCCTACCAGTAGTTTTCAAAACGTACATGCACATCAGAGAAGAATAGAAAGTGCCACGTAAAGAAAAAAATAATACTACTATACCAGTACTAGTGCGTGTGTATATATATACATATACATGCTTCGTTTGGATTGATTTATTTTTCAAATACAATGTTATAATAATACATAAATAAAAATAATTTAAAAAATATCTCATTCATACAATATATCAAATATTTAAAAAAAATATTTATAGTAAAAATTTTTCATATACATTATTATAGTAAAATATTTCAAAAATATCTCAAAAAAGAGTTAATACAAACGGTGTAAATATTATTCCTCCCTTTAATGTATCTTCATTACCTTTTCTTTTACTATTTATTATTGGATGCCACATGTAAAGCTAAATCATCGACATTAAAGAATCAACTTTGGAAACGACTTTGTCAACAGTCAAGCAAAACCGTGCACTGCAGCCGACTCCACGAATTTTGGCCTTACGTGCCCTAAATTTAATGCTCCATATGGGTCATCATCTAGACCTGCACCCCGTCAGAATCTTCCAAACTGATCAATATTTTAGTAAACCGATTCATGGGAACATAAGAGAACGTTTTTGTGCTTCCTGTCCAAGAAAGCAGCCATTTATTTTGATCAAGAAATTGAAATGTTGGTATGTTTGGATCGTGAATTATTAGAGATATTTTTATTGTAGCATTTTTTTTGATGTGATGTATGTGAGATAAAAAGGTAATTGGGAAGGTAAAAAAGTGTATTGAAAATTGTAATGATGATGTAAGCAAATAAATTTGGGGAAATAAAGGCCAATCCAAACAAACCATTTTTAATTTGTGTGTTAAGGACAAGTGCGCATGTTTTTGGACACAAACAAAGGTGAGTGCTCATTAAAAAGTATTCAAACCAGTTCCAGAACGTGGACACCCCCGCTCGCTTTTGAAAACTTAATACACCGGAAACAGAGAATTTGATGCTAAAATAAACGTCGTTCTTTTGATCTTGATTTTCTTGTGTCTGGTAATTGATTTTGGCGTGTGCCGTTTGCGCCACAAATCATATTCATGAGTTTAATACTAGTACTATATAGTGTGCATTTCGGTTTCCGCCGCCTCCAGTCCTGAATGGTGGAGTGGTGGGATGCTTCCCAATTAGGCATCTCCTCCTCGGTTAGTAGAATGACAGTAAAATGTTCAGCGGTAAATTGTTGGCTTTGTGTTCCCAGAATACCCAGTATCCATTTGATCAAATTGATTCCTTTTTTTTTTTTCATTCGTCATTTATTTACTCTAGTCAAATATAAAGGGACTGAATCACCATCAGACCAGACGGGTGCATTAAGCACCCGTATGAATTTCGAAAATCACATATTGTAACAAATGATGGGAGACAAGATTTGAACCCTTAACCTCCTATCCACCAAATTGATTCTATTTAACTAAGGTATATTTTGTAACAGGCCTGAACGGAACATTTGGATGGCCCAAACGGGATCAAAATAAGACAAAAAAGTAGAATAGTTGATTAAAAACGAGGTTTAGTCCACATAATTTCAACCGCTATTTTATACATTTATTATCCTCCTGCTTTTTGTGTATTGTGAATAAGAATGTCACGGATATTGTGATTTTAAAAGTTACACACTTTTATAATCACTAATTTAATTTTTCTACGTTTATCGCTATATCACTTTTTGGACATCTTTATACTCTGAATAAGATAAGATGGAAAACTACCTAGCTATTCAATATGAAAGCTTCCTCCCAAACGGTAGAGTTAATTTTTTCATAACTAGCTAAGAGTGTAAAATTAAAGAGGGGAAAAAGCCAAAGACAATGACTTGAATCCACGCCAAGTTTGCACTCTCGTGAATCTTCCTTTTATGATCTGCAGAATCTTTCACCTTATAATTAATAATATTTCTTCAAGATTCCCACCGATCGCAAGTGCCATGCATCATCATCGGTGCCCATCTTCAATTTGTTCCACTCAAATTTCTTGGGACCTCAGTGTCATCTTCTTTTTAAAATTTGTTGAAGCGAATTTCCCGCATCCACCAATAACTATCACCCACGGAAGAAATACATTAACAAACTCACATGGAGCGGGGCATAACCGTAATAAATTTAGGGATCCGACCACCTAATTCTATGCAAATCCTTAACTTTACATTTTACTATTTTAGTAATGGAAAATGAAAAATGTTGTTTGCACTCATTTTTTGTTGTTATTTGCAATCCCACAATTTGTTTTATCATATAACCTAATAAATGAAAACTATATGATTCAAAATGATGGGACGAGTGTGATTGAAAAAAATGGGAGTACAAATAAATATTTTATTTAGAGTGCGTTTGATAAAACTGATTTATAAGAACTGAAATCTGAATCCATTAAATTAATGAATTATTAAGTATTAAATTTGATACATTTGTATGTATATCATATTAAGTGATAGGTGAATAATTTATTACTTATTTTTTGGAGCAAAATTTGCCTGAGAAATTCAATGACACTTAACGAAATCAGATGTTCTAGTTTTTATTATCAAACGCGTCTGAATATGTTAAAATCTTAACTTATTAAATTTAAGTGTTGAATTGAGTTATCAAAGAGTGCTTAGTAATAAAACTTGTCTCCCATTGAATATGTTTGTCACGAGAAGATTCTTCCTAAATTAGAACAACGATCTACAGATTATCTATTTGTTAAACATGCAACGCCTATACCAACAAATTCAGATTGTTATATCTTAATAATGCCCAAGATCATGATAATTGCACATGATGGGATTGGCATGCACCTAATTCTCAACTTTCTGTCCCATGAGTTCTTCAGACCAATATAATCTGGTAACTTGTTTTAACATAACCATCGTTAGGTCTAAGCCTACTCGTACTGCCCAGCCAAACTTATAAATCACTTAATTATTTGTCTCCCAGTGTTTTGCTTAAAATTTTCAATTGGCAATATTTAAGGCAATTTATACATCTTATGAATCCATGTAGAACATCCGTGTTAAAAAAAAAATAATTACTTTAATATCTCAGGCACAAAAAATAAAAATCTAAAACTAATAATGGCAGAGTAAAATGTTCATATAATATGCTGACGTTAGGAAAGTTAAAAGGCGCACAAAATTCAGCCGCATGGTTTCTGTGGACCTGCATTACAGAGCCCACATGTGCACCACCCGTGATGGCCCCATATTCCACCCCCATCCAATAATTTCTTTCATCATGGCACGCACAATACGCGGAATCTACAGAATGTGAGTCAGTAAAGCAGATGACTTACGTGGCTGCCCACTGTACTCTCTACCCGAATCAAACGGCGGAGGTTTCAGTTTTTCAATTCCCAGCCCAGTGATTCCACTTCCCAACATCTTAACCGTGACATACAACGGTTAGGCTCCGCCGAATAAAGGGGCCCATGCCCCGAGTCAGGTCCTGCATTGATTTTCAAACAATTTTCAGGAAAAAAGGTGCACGCAACTCTTGATTCATCTAGACAATTTGCAGCATTTTTTTTTGGGGTTAAAAAAAATACATAACTTGCACTTTGACCCCTTTTAACTCTGAATTTAGAAATTTCACCTCAGAAAGGACCACTAGAAAATTAAAATGCTGGATGAAAACAAATTTTTATTTATGTTTGAAACTAAAGAACTCTTGTTTGCAATTCTGTTAATGAATGATAAATAATGCTAGAAATATATCATAAATATGAGTCTGCTAAAATATAGTAAGAGTGTTAAAATTTTTAAAAATGTTATTGTTAATATGTGCATTTACAATACAAATTATGTGTGATTTAAATATGCTAGCAAGTTAGAAAAATTATATAAATATTTATCAATAGAGAAACTCTTTTCAATTATTAGTCTAGACTAGATATAAGGATTTATTAGAAAGATAAGATATTTAGGCTATGACAAGTCACTCTCCTGTGGATGTCCTTCCGCTATCAATGAATGGACTTATTATCACATTTACAGCTTCACAGCAAAAGGATTTAACTCCATGACTCGTATTATGAGTTACAGTAAAAAATATATATATGTTAAATATTAGACTTGATATTAATTGCGTGATGCATCTAACTGCAAAGTTAATTTCATTACCAAAATTGATTGTAATGTATCATGATGTCGACAAGTTGACGATTTAAGTTGTGCTGTGCTATGGGACCCGACTTCCAATTCCACAAAATATCAAGGTGTAAAACTGTAAATTGGAAATAACCAGCAAATCCCAAAGATTAGACCAAAAAATAAAATAAAATAAAATAAAAACCGCCATGGAGATTACTTTTTCCAATTCTACAGCTTTCAAACTCCTATAAATACCTGGCTCGAGTCAAGCCAGGTTTGCCAAATTAGACGCTCAAAATCATCCTTATTGGAAGTACAGTTGATCAATATTCTCTACTGTTTTTCCTTTCTCTCTCTTCAACCACCTTTCACCTATCTTGTACTAGTGGTCTTTAACCGACAAATATGGCGGCAGCAACTCGGCGATCAAGCGGACCAGTGCTCCGTTCGCTCTCCCCTTCTGGAAGATTCTATTCCTCCAGAACGCGGTCATTCTCCTGCTCCTCCTCCTCTTCATCAGCTTTCGCTTCGTCGACATCTACTTTTTCAGCTCGCTCCTACCCTTCCACTCTCCTTCACAGATCGACTTCTCCTACCCGCGTCAATCTATATAGTTCTGCTCCTTCCGCTGCCTCGGTTCGGTTTTCATTGGACCGGCCTATTTCCCCCAACCGTTCCATTTCCATGGTGAACAAGAAAAACCAGGTGGTTCAGAAGTCTCAGAAGCGGACTTGTATGTGCTCTCCTTCAAATCATCCTGGCTCGTTCCGCTGCAGCTTGCATAAGAGTATTGGCCACAGTAGTAGCAGCAGCAGTCATACCCAAACGGCGCCGTACAACTCGAACCGGTTGAACATGAGGAGGTCCGCGATGACGAATTCTTTGGTGAGAATCGGAACCGTGGAGGGAGATTTGGTGAAGAGAGCTTTGGCGGCTTTAATTCGTCCTTCTTCTCATCACCAGCGCCGCCGCGGGGATTTCCATCCTCGGCCTAGCCGCCTCTCTGCCATGTCTAAAGCGGAGGGCTCTTCTTGAGGAACCGAAACGCGAACTCTTAAACAGGTTTCTGTGAATTTTGGCTGTTCTTCCGAGAAGAGAGGAGAAGGCGCGGCAGTGAGGGTGACGCCAGAGGTGACGTCAGAAAGAGTTGACTGGTGGTGCGATGGTGGAGGTCGAAGCGGAACGTGTTTTAGTGTCTCCGTGACCGAAACCCTAGGAATCCGGCCACAGAGACCACCTGTGTATATACCTATGTGCATATAGTATAGCAAGTTACGGACTTCATCTGAAAAAATTGCAGAGAATTTTAATTTGCAATATAATTCCGAAGATCTCTCTTAAATCAATCAGTTTTTAATCTTACGGTAATACATTAATTGATCAAATCAACTAAACTAAAGTCAGACTGATTGGAGATTAATCTTGTCAAGTTTCAGATATGGATCCTTAAATCTGCAATTCCTTTCCGATTGGCTTACAATTCATTCTTTATTCAATGCTGATAACCATGCTCAGCGCTTCGTTTTTCAAATTTTCTTTTTTCCCCTTTTTTTGGCGTCCCTTTTTTGTTTGAAACGTTCCTCTTTTTCAATTTTCGATTTTATTTTTAACTTTTTTGGTTTTTGTGTTGTTGTTGTGTGTGCTGTGTGTGGGATTGGGGGCCGGGGGGGGGGGGTCCATGGGCTTGATAGCCGATACCTCGTTTGTGGTGTTTGATTCGGTCTTGCTGTGGGCGTGAACATTGATCTGGTCTTTCTGCATGCTTGTACTTCTCTTCTCTCGGCGAAGAAGCATCCTTTTCCTTTCTATTTTTCTCAGTTTGTTTGTTCGTGTATGGTTATTGACGATTTCTGTTGGTTTGTTTTTCAGGTAATTATATGGTTGGCAGAATTTGGGTGTCAAAAGGTGTTTAAATTTGACCAAGGACATTGGCTGTGATATTCGAGAGGCATGGACCCCGATTGACCCGATTAATTCTTTGAATTTAAGAATGGAAAACCAAAAATGGAAAAGCTAAAAATAACTAAGGATTCTGCACCCAAAGCTAAAAGCTTACCCAGTGAAGACATTGATCTGATTACCCAGTAAAGTTGATGAGTAAACCACAAGAGAAGTGAACACGGGAGTCTGTCATGGTTGCAGGGGGGAAAAAAAAACGATCGAGATGGTTTAATTGCATATGCAACCCAAATCCAAATAAGACTAAAGAAGTGTAAACAATTTGGCAAGGACGAGTTGGATGAGTTTTTTTTTTTTTGACAGAAGGGTCGTGTAAATGTTAACGTGAGGACTGTGTTGATGAATCATTTATAAAAATATTTGTAAATGATTTTAAATGATTTATGATTTTCATTTGAGGACTATGTTGATGAATCATTTATAAAAATTTTTGCAAATGATTCATGATTTTCATTTTCCACGTATGTTCTGATTTGTAGCGATAAACGGAGAGGAACTCACTAAAACTTTTAATTACAAAAAAAAAGATTAGGACTAAAGAGGTGTTGCTTTATTTAGTACATGTAAAAGTACGATATTGTTCAATTGCTCGAAGAAAAACAGATGATCGGGAGATCACGAGAGCAAGAGTCAGAGAGATAGTTTCACAATCGAAGTACTTGTGATATACACATGTCATGAATCAAACGGTGATATGATAGTGTATACACTGTCAATATATATAAGATTTACTCCAAATTTAATAGCGAAATTGTGCCAAAATTCTCTGTTGGCCTAACTCAAAATAGAGATAGTTTGGACAGAGTTTAGCCAAAAAATGATCTCCATTTTTTCGTAGCCTACAATCAAGTTTTTAAGATTAACTTGATTGTATATCTCCATATTTGGATTATCAGAAACTTCAATTGGACTGGAGAAAACCAGCATTTATGAAAACTTACTCTCAAATTTCGCGTCGGATATAGAGCCGCGTTGGATTATTAAATTGGTTACTAATCGCGCAGAATTTGACATGATTTCTCAAAGGACTAGTCAACCTTCCGTGTAGGATACGGTTTTAGTTGTAAAATCAAGCATAACTGATTCAAGCTTCAATCTGAGCTGAAAATTCACAAGAATTGCCACCCATACTCGAGCATTGACCTTGTTAAAGCTCTTAGTACCCTTTTTTCTTGTAGTAAAAAAATATCCCTTTTGCAATATCTAAGCTTGCATCACGTTTGAATGTCTCAAACTATTAAGACTTATCCCTCTTTTGATACTTAAAAAGAGAAGATCATAACGGATGCAAGCATATAAATATGTTATGTATAGGTATCTTAGTGTAAGTGTGGCACAATGAAGTAGGGGAAAGTAAAGAATGGCCCTCATCATTACCACCAAAAAAAAGAAAAGAAAAGAAAAGAAATGAAATGAAATGGCCTTTGGGAGTCAGCTTAGGACATCGTGGATATTTAAGTGACCTTTTCCTATTTCAAGACTTTGAAAATGAAAAGTTATCCAGGTATTGTCTCTATCCCCTTGCGTTTTATGATCAAGTACTCTATCCCTTGCGATAGGCCAGCTAGAGGAAGGCTTCATACAATGGATAAGGTTATGAGAGTGAGAGGTCTGGCGTTGGCGATTAGAGCAAACTGTACGTATTCTTTAGTTACTGTTCTGCTACGCACATTGCAGGACTAACAAATGCAGTAGCCAACAAAAATCTTCGACGGCTTGGGCTGTTGCTGCTGGGTGGGTACGAAATCAAGAGTTAAAAATTTGCCTCCTATTAATTGTTATAATATATGATTTTCTTAAAAAATTGCATACGAAAATATAGTGCACCAATCTGATTTGATAATGGTTCAGTTTTCATCGATCTTTCATAAGTCTAGTTGGGTCTCCTCCTTAGATTATATGTTAGAGTAAGTATATTGACAATGACAAAAAAACAAAAAACAAATATCTTCACTTTTTGCAACTTTCTTCATTTTGCTGCGTTTGGTTTGAAGAATTTAACAAAAAGATTTGAAATACCTTCAAATTCCTCCAGATTATTTGGATTACTTCATATTTAATCGAGACTATTTAATATTAAAATAATTGATGAATTACAACATCAAATACCTTCCCAATAATTCAAACAATTTAAAAGGATTAAAGAGTATTTTAAATTTTTTGTTAAATTTTAACTCATACATGATGAAGTCTTGAATATACCCTCCATAGTCCATCCCCCATTTGTTTCTAACTTTTAGCTGGAAGGCACACGCGGATTATACAAAAACCAGGTGCTAGCCCATCAGAATGCAAATTGAACCATGGGGCCAACGTCAAAACCGCCCCATCGATAGAGAAAGCAGCCCACAGGCAGAGGCCCCTCAGGGGCAACGACCCTCTGGGTGACAGCTCTCTTACTCAATGTAGCTTTGTGCCTTGTGGCTTACCGGTTACACCTGCCTGTGGGACCCATACTAATTGGTTGTCCTCCAATTTGCCAACTTTTACCCAAAGTTGGTCGGACGTTCTTTACCTCTCCATCTCAATGCTAGAATTTTCCAATTTAATTATAGTTGTATTCTCTTGCTAGGTCACTGAGGCTTGGCCTAGACATTGGAACTACGCTTATATGATGGTTTGCTGGTAATCGTATTGCCTAATAAAAAAACAATGTAGTTATTTTAAGTGTGAGTTTTCCCGTCCCAGGTTTCTAGTGTAGGATTTTTGGAGGCAATTTAGTTCTTTTCGAATTCTTAATAATTTAATTGGGTCCATTTGCTCCTAATATGGAGCCAATATTGAAAATGTTGAACTAAAAAAAAAAAGGTGTACATTTGGCTCACTAGTGTCAAGTGGACATGCATTAAAAATATGATTAATCTTTCCAATACTGTCAGTGTATATACTGACAAGATTGAATGAATGTCACATTATTTGAATTTAAATTTAAACATTAAATTTTATAAATATGACATGCATTTAGACCTATTAGTATATACACCGTCAGTGTATAAAAGATTTATTCTTAAAAATATGCTTTTGATGTATAAATTTTTTTAGAGTAAAATTAATCTTGAAAAGTATTTAATTATAAAGGTATAATAAATATAGATATATACATATACGTAATAAATTATGTGTGATTTTGACGTGCTAACAGTTACTCACTAAATACTGGTGGAAAAATCTTTTTAAATACTTTTGATGATGAGCGCTGGGAGCGAAGAGACACCAAGGTGAATATTTTTCCCTATCTTAGGAAATATTTTGTTTTAATTTTCTTTTTCGTGCCTTGATTTCCATATCGAAGCTCAAAGTGACCGCAAACCGACAACGGATATTCAGTACCTATTAAAATGTCAGAAACGATCATGCAAAGTCGATGACTCCGAAACGTAATAATGGCAATAACATTTATATTTATTGAATAAGTAACGAAGAACAACAGAGGGTCGGGTGGGATCCACGTGAACCGACTAGGTATATGTCCAGCATCCCTAAATTTCCCGCTTTTAGTCTTTGACGGTGGCGGCAAAGCCATGTGCCATTTCTATCGTTTCCACGTCAGGGCTGGGCGGACCAGCCAAGCCACGCAAGACGCTGATCGGATCCATCCCATGCACCCCTTTTTTTTGCCATTTGTTGTTTGTTTTCTACGACCGAAGCTCAACAAGGAAATGAAAATTAGGGATAAGGATGAAAGAAGGTGGATTCATGTTCCATCACTTTATTTATGTCTATGTCTATGTCTATGTCTATGTCTATGTCATGCATCCTTGGCTCCAGGTACTTCAATTAGACTTTGATTATTAATGCAATATGTCTTTTGTCTCCCTTGTCGTGGCAACCTCCCCCGATTCTTGTCAAGGTACTATTTTGTTGATTCTAAGGAAAATGCTCTAGTTAGTTTTAGTTGAAAAGTTGATGAGAGTCGAATCAAGTACCTCATTATTACTTAACTAATGTTCATATTTAAGGGTCTTTGATGGCGAAGATGTGTTCTTGGAGAGTATGTTTCATAAATTGTCGGAGTAGTGTGTGTAGTACAGAACTATTTATGTAAAAAGTGAGGTCAAATTCGAATGGCTTCAGAATCTTTAATCATTCTGATCAGTGTCAATATTTTTTTAAAAAAAAACTCTGGAGAGATTTTTTTTTTGGTTATAAAAATGAGTTAAATAAATAAATTAATTATCAAGATTGTATAGAATTATTTGATTGGTTATTACGGAAAGAAAATGTCGTGATACGGTGAACCAATTGAATGGTTGGAATCAGGGTACCAATCGTATCCCAAAAGGAAAAACCTTATGTATGTTGATCAGGTTCTCTTTCTAATTCCTCTTCTCCTAAGGGAATGGGGCAGCTCCAATTTTGTTTGCGTATATCAACTGAGGTATTATATACAGCGAATACTTGAAAAAAACCAGATCTTATTAAAATAATAATAATAATAATAATAAGAACAGCCGCCCACGTTTTCCTCAATCCCCATCCTTTCTTTCTTTTAATAAGTGAGAGAGGTTTTAAACTCAACTCCTACTTATTATAATCCCTCTCATCTTATCATTCAATTCAATTCTCTCCCCAATTCACTTGTTATGATACTTTTCAGCATGATTATTTTGGTTTAACTTTTGTATTTTGGAATGAACAAAATGGGGGATTGGGTTGCGTTGTTGGGAGCGGGCGGGTTTTCTACACCGTGCACCCCAAAGTTGGTTGGACTATATACATATTGGGCTTGGATTTATGCTAACAGCTAGCCCATCATGTTTCTTCAAACATGCTCGTCCCCCAAGGCTAGCATCAGCCCAGGGAACCAAGAAATGCAAAGGAATAACCCATAAAATGCTGTATGGTGTTGAGCTCTGAATGGAGCAGAACCCATCCACCGGCGGCTGCCCTACTCCTGTTAGCAGAGCCAAAATTTCTCGTTTGATCTCTAAATGGCACTTTATCTTTCATACTTGGCCTGCTTCGATGTTTGGTAGCACACTGTCAATTTAATCACACGTGATTTGTAGTATTTTGAGGTTTCCAGACTACTAGAGAAAACGGGATATCCATACAGCAAATCAGTAACTGGCCAATAGACACAAAAATGTGCTACCTGGTTTGCCTGATGATCCCAAGGGGCTTCTACTCAAAAGCTAATTCCCGATTGTCTTGGAATCCATGGCTGCTTTCTTAAGATTGGGCAAATCCTTGGAACTAGTGCAAGCTGGACTGTTTTTGATATAGTTAATGTATCCATATTCCTGTCAGTTTGTCACAAAAATGGAAAAGATTATAGAACTCGAGGAAAACAGTGTCCCGACAGAGATCAGATTAGTGTGTAAGAAGTCACTATTTTGGTGGGGTTTAACAGTGCTGACAACACAGCTTCCAGTATACTTGCAACATACACGAAGTCCCCAGAAATGATGACCTTGTAAAATAAAACCACCAATCATTATCTGTTTGTTCCAGAGACTGAGTAACAGAAGCCAAAACACTGGAAGAATCCGCGAATACGTAAAAAGTATTTTATCTGTTCCGCATGAAGAATGCAATTCATGGCTTTGCAAGTTACGAGTTCAATGCTTAGTCAATACTCCCTCACCTGGCCTCTCACGGTCTCATTTGAGACCCGCCAAATTAATCATTAGTCTACGGATGAAAATAGAATCCAGGATTTGCCAGCCAGGGAAAACAAAATAGGAGGAAGAGGAGAATAGAATCAAATAGGGTAAGAAGGTTTGTTTGTTTATTCTCTACTCCTTGGGGAGTTTCTAAACGCTACTCTTAAAAAATGCAGCTGTCCAAGAATCCCGTTCACAGAAAAGGTACTTGCTTGGTACAAATGCTAAAACTCGACATCTGGATATGTACCACGGAATTTCCACATGTCAGTTAAGGGGATTCCGGGCTCCAGGATTAGGGAAACTGCGAATTGAGAAGTCAATTCTTAAGATGCATGACGTTTCTGATTTTTGTAAATTACTTGTAATAATGCACTAGTACTCATTATCATATACTGCAGAATCCTATTCTCACCATCCGATCACCTCCTTCTCCCTTATTCCTTAGTACACATCTACTTCTTGTCTTTATTATTAACAATCTGCCCTCCTCCCAAAACTCCACCTCCCTCCATGTCTGCCTATTTGTTCCCGGTGTTTTACATTGTCGTCTTTCTTTTCTCAACCGTATCACAATCAATGCTTGCTGCCCGACTCTTCTTCCCTCTCAGTCCCTCCCGCTCTCATTTCTTTGTCTGTTTAATTCAATTCGTCGGACTGAATTTCTGATTGATTAAGAAGATTAAAAAAAAAAATAGTGACCGTAAAAGCAGGGACTAGACCATCATGGGTGGGGCTTGAGGCAGCTGCTTGGTTGCAAATAGCATCCGGGAATGCATCCACTTTTCCTCTCTACTCCCACTCAGTCAAATCAGTTCTGGGATTTAACCAGCATGCTTGGGGTGGCTAATGATATTGGGGAAAACATGGGTTTGCTTCCAGGCCATGTTTACAACAAGTTTCCACCTTTGGTCATTCTCCCTATTGGCGCTTTTGCATGTTTCTTCGGTTATGGGGTTCTCTGGCTTGCTCTGTCCAGGACTATTCCTTCGTTTCCTTATTGACTGGTAACATTCGTTTCCTGGTTTTTCTTGGGAAAAAATTACTCATCTTAATTTGATTGCCTCCTTTTTATTTGGATAACTCTTTCCCTGTAAAGATATAGTCTTTATTTTGAATGGCTGTGGTATAATTTTGCTGACATATCCATCATGTATGCCTCTCGGAATATAGAGTGATTGGTTGAGATGTAATTTGCATCCTATCTATGCTTCTCATGGTTTTCTGGATCATTTCGATGATTGACAGATCCTTGTGTGCTTACATTTTTGCTTGACTATCTTTAGAAGAACTGGATTTGAGTGTGGAAAGCTGGGTTAGTGACTTGCATTCTTTGCGCATGTTTCATTCCTCTTGGTTATGAAAGAAGCCTTATATGGTAAAATCTGTCCTCTTCATTTCGACATCTGGAACGTAAAATCTGATTGCCATTTGACATTAGACCATGACTATATACTGCAGAGTAGAAGAAACAAAATTACTGGCTTTCTTCAGTCAGCTGATTGAGATTTCTATTTGATATTTGTAAAATAGCTGAATTTAGAATCGCCTTGTGTTTATATCATTCAGGCATGAAGGTGATTGGAAAAAGTCCCTATAAGACATAATTTCAGCTGAGTAGTATTATTAGTTTTAGGCTTCATAATTAGGCACAAATAATGCAAAACAGCAGATCATAACTCCTACAGTTTCACCTGTGGGAGTACAAGTGAAAAAATTAGGGGAAGTAATTGGGTTCAGAAAGCAGAGAAAGGAGTAATTGGAAACAAGGACACAACTAAGCTCAAGTACAAGCAGATTGGTCAAGGTAACGATCAGTCTGCAGTTGGTCAAGCTAGTTTGCTTTCTTATCTCAGGCCTAAGAATTTAGAGCATGAAGCAGATGCCATGCCTGAAAGCAAGCAACTTCTTCCGATAGCTTGTAGTATAACAATAAAATGCCAAAAGTAGCAAGTCTCCGTCCCATAGGCAAGACCAGTATTGCAAGAAAATCTCCGGGCTCAATTGGGTTTCAAATCTTGAAACATTAAGGACCATAGTGAAGGACCTCCATCATCAGTAGCATACCCCACCTTTCCCTCGTAATAGTGATTCCGCATTGGGCTCATACCTCTTCCTTCCCACGGTGCATACAAGCCAGGACTCCTGTTTCCATACCCATGCCTGTCTCTTCCTTTTCCATCAGTGACTCCGGGTCTCATCGGGCTCCAGTTGGCGAGCATCCATCTATCTTGTAGCTTCCCATCCAGAGGACCCGATATACTAAGGCATTTATTAGTCAACATCATCTTCTTCTCTTGTTGCACTCTGCTATCTAAAGGCCCTGATTTCATCACATCCCTGCTTGCGATCACTGGTTTGTCCTCCTTTGCACTAGTAAACCGCCTGAGTGCTCCGCTCCACGGTGTTGGATAGGTACACATATCCAACGAAGGGGCGTGATGATTAGTCGAATTCCTGCTGGGAAAGCCCCACTTGCCGACTTTCTTGACGAAGAGCTTTTTAGTTTTGTTGAATGCCAACACAAGCCTGGAAAGGCCATTGAGGTTTCCTCCAACATCCTTCCTGACAAGCTTGAGTATCTCCAGGCGGTGTTTAGCTACATTGATGCCCAAACTCTTGAGGAATTCGTGGTTAAAGTATACCAGATCCTCTTTCTCTAGCTCATTGCGGGTGAAAGATAAACCATACTCGTATGTGAGGGATGGCTCAAGGTTAGCTTTTGATAACCAAGAGCACCAATCCATGGCTATTGGGGGCTACTTGGTTATGCTTCCTTTCTTCTTCTTTTTTCCCCTTGATATTTCTGAGCTACTGATGAGGACGTCTATAACTATAAAAAGATGCAGCAAGCAAACTGGAAAGAGGCTGGAAAATGGGGCCAAAAAAGAACAAAAAGAAATTAAAGCGCAGGGATGAAGAGTTTGCTTGAAAATGATGTATACACATGCATGTGGTGGGTAAGGATATAGTTGCCTAAAATTATTTCCCATTTATTGTTGCTTACGAATTTCAAATGGTAGTTGGGGAAAGGGCAACGAAAACGGAGCAGTCAGTCTATCTGCTTAAAAAGTGGACTTTTAATTTTGGAGTATAGCAGCTAGGTATAAATTAATCGTTTATTACGGAAGTTGCTCTCTGTTCGGTAATATTTGCCAGAGGTCTGAGATATGACCACAAAAGCCTTCATAAATTTTGCTCCGGGAATCAACTTTGGCCATAGAGCAGCTGAAGAAACTTGAAAGCACGTCGCCCGAGCTGAGCAACCTTTGCCAGAAAAGCCAATCCAGCTTTTGCTTTGAAATCAAAGAGTAATGAATTTGTTTAATGAAGAAATGCGAGTGACCAAAAGTTGGTGACTACATTTCTTGTCTCGAAGAGAACAGAAAGTGGTACCAATAATTCGTGTTCCTTGCATTGTTTTCGGGCCAAAAACCAAAGGAAATAAAGGTACGTAGTTTTTTTTTCAAAAATTATTATTTTTTTTGTCTCTTTCAAGTAGTAATTCCTCGAATTAGGGACCACATGCGAAACAAAAAAATAATCAGAAAAAAAAAACGAACTAATGGGGGTCTCATTTTAATCTATACTTGTTTTGCATGTTTAAGCGTTACAAGTTACAACTATTAAGATGGCAGAAACTCTAGCTAAGTCTTGAAAAAAAAAAAAAATTAACTAATGGATGATCACAGGTTACCATATGTTTTCTTAAAAGCATCTCTTGGCAAATTGCACCTCCCCAGTAACAAGCTATTGAATTGGGGAAAGTGCTTTTAGATTGCTATGAACTCTGTATATAATAATTACAAAATTATGTAAGTAATTAATAATGAATAATAACAAACAAGGATGTTACTCTCCTGCCCCGCCCCTTTTCTCGGCAGAGAGCTAAGACTGATCTACAATTCTACTTTCCTGAAACTAATCGCCACAGAGGCCCTCGGAGCTTCACAGACGCAATTTCTGCAGCCTTATCAATTGGGCTGGGCACTTTGCCAGGTTTGTTTTTTTTTTTTTTTTAAATTTCTTTTGGGTCTTTGGTACGTTACCAGTTCCATGCTTTGATTGCTGCATTAAATATCTGACCAGACTGATCTCACAGGCCCATACTAGAGCCTGGCCCAAGAACAGAATTGTACACTTCCAAGGAAGTCCATCTTCTTTCCAACATGTAAATGAAAAAGCCCAGCCTAGCCTTAGCATGGAGAAACTTTCCGTTTTTCCCGATATATATATATTTTTTGGATGTGATTAGCAATATGAAAGAAACCTTCATAAAAGTGCTAGTACAATTTGCAGCAGCATGAGACCGCCTTAGAAACATACGAACGAACGAAAAGGAGCTTCTAATTAAAAAAAACACACCATCGTTTCCAAGAAGTGCAAGTGAAATAATCCCCCCATCTGTGCTGTGTTATCCGCCCATCTTTCTCGGTCAAACAGTGCCCTGCCACTTCTTGCTCCCTGTTTTCCCTGCGCACGAGCGCGACCCCGCGCACACATACATATATGTGGATATAATGCATTGCATCCATGCAAAGATGAAACAATTGCAAAATCAAAACAAAACAAACTCTGAACTTTATCCTCAATCCTAAACTTTATCTAATCTGTAGAGGACGGACTGAAGTGTAGTGTACTATGAATTCTCGGACATTTCTGAATAAACCTAATCCATTAATCCGAGTCTTTGCAGCACAAAGTCTCAACCAACAACGTTTGATCTTCACCAAATCAAATAAAACGTCATCGGATTCAGCATGGGCTTCAACATCTGGGTCTACCAGTAGCTATAATCACAGTAATAATCAAAAGGGTAGCTCGGCCTCAGTTCTTGAATCAGTTCTGAGATCATTGTTTTCGGGGGCAGTCGTCGTTGCCTCGAGTTTAGGCCTTTGTTACTGTTATGCCTTTTCTGGTAGGCATTCGCAGCTCTCTTATGCTGATTGTGGAAGGGGCCCGGCAGATACAGAAAGTGAAAGCCAGCCTAATTTCTTATTTAAAGGTACAAGAGAATGCTGGGATATTGTAATTGACATCTCGAGCTGATTTTCACATTATGGATGATGTTCATCGATTCGAAAACTGGGGCATTTTGGTTTGTGGTCCATTAATGCAAGTTTTTCTTTAGATTTCATAGGGTAATTCATGGAAAGGTACACCATAGCTGCCAATATTTTAGCAGGGATGTTTCGGATTAATCTTCAGTATATATGCAGGCCCACAATATCTTTTATAATTTTTTTTTTATATATAGATATAACTATCCATTCGCATGGATGTGTGATATTTGACAGTTCGTGAATAAGACAAAATTGCTATTTGATTTATCCTGTTATTACCATCAACAACATTCAATTAATGTCATTCAAACATCCCCATCAGCGAGTCATGGTTGTTGAATATCCTCTCATAGGATCCTAATTCTATATTGATGCCACAGCTCGACGCTAATTGATCAAATGCAAAACGAAAAACTTTTAGTCACCTAGCACCAAGATGGTGATCTATGATTAGCAACTGATATCCTATATTACGATTTGGAACTTGAAATATTCCTACATCTCATTTTGTATCCCTGATTTAACTCTCGTATTACAATGACAACACACTAGCTTTAAACTAGAGCAAACCATGTGTCTCAGTTGCCCCTTGTTTCATGGTTGCCTTCAATTTTCATGTCTAATAGTCATCTTGATGTTTCAGATACATACAGGAGAAAGGTTTTCTTCAACTATGAGAAACGCCTGAGGTTGCAGAGTCCTCCTGAGAAGGTATAAACCTCTAGTTTTCATATGCATCAGTGTAAAGTCTCTATCTTTTTTAGTGTTTTAAACAGCTTGATCAAAGAGCTTGTACTTGTACTTTCTATAGGTGAGTTGCAAATTAAAATATTGCTAGCTCATTAAAAGTCCAAGTGGTTATAGAGGGTCAATTGAATAGTTTGCGTTAAAAAAGTTCCAGTTTGTGCTACAATTCGAATGTAGTAGTCGAATGACTAAAAGTTAGAAGATTTTGCTTCTCTCATGACCATAAAAGAAAACAGATCCTCACCATGACCTTAAGGATTCATATGGAATTGGCCCACTTGCCTTGGTTCTGAGCATTGAAATTTCTCATGTTTTTATCCCTGTATGAAATTCGCCTATAATCATGTTTCCTATTCTAGGTGTTTGATTACTTTGCATCTTTCCGATCCCCTTCTGGCGAGGTATTTATGACACCAGCAGATTTGATGCGAGCAGTTGTTCCTGTATTTCCTCCATCCGGGGCAACTGGTGTTCGTGGAGGATATCTGAAAGGAGAGAAGAGTCCTGGCGAGTTAAATTGCGCACCTTCAGAATTTTTTATGCTTTTTGATACCAATAATGATGGACTTATATCGTTTGCAGAGTTAGTCCCTGTTCTGCATGTGTGTCTGTATGCTTGGACACAGGCACATTATCTACATGTAATGCTCATTAAACTTCTGAAAAATCTCCTGATTCTGCATTTTGTTCTTACAGGTATATTTTTTTCGTTACACTACTCAGCATACCAGAATCAAGTTTTTCGGTGGCATTCAAAATGTTTGACCTTGACAACGATGGGTAGGTTTAATGTGTATGTATTAGTATACATAAGGTTCTAGGAGTTCTACAGACCATATTTTTGTGCTGCCAGTAAGTATGAAGGCATCTCTATACCTCTGGTTAATGTTTCCATAGCTACCTTTATGTTACTTGTTATACAAGATTCGTAGAAAATATAGATGCTTTTCTTGTAGCTGCCCCAGAATCAGATAAAATGTCTCAAAAATTTCTGGGCAGAGAAAATAATCATAATAGAAAGCATTAATTGATGGACAATTCAAAATTATATGATATCCTATATACACGACTGATGTGAGTTTGATCCAAATGTTGGCTTGCTTTTAATCAAATATTGACCAAGTATTGAGATGATGAATCTGTTTCATTTGCTTTGACCAAGTATTAAGATGAGACAAATCTATTTCCTTTGTTTATATCTATTTTGGCATTCTGGACAGCATTGAATGGGCTCCATATGAAAGAGAGATGTAATGCTAATAATGCATAATTATTCAATTCCACAGGTACAATATACTCTTTAACAATTCTACATGTGTTTATCATTCTTGGAAGGGGGAAAAAAAAAGTAGCAAAACTGTTTTCAGATTATAATCTTGTATCTGGTTCAACTGTATGGTTTATTACTGATGACTGACAGTCAAACAACAATGTAGCGTTCTGGGGACTTCTTTACCTTTAGAAATCAGAAGTTACAAATTGCAGAATTGAGGCCTTCAAAATGTCTGTGGCAATTCGAAGCTAATCAAAGTTCTTTTATAAAGATAGTTTTTGGTGCTCAATCCAGAAATTGTGTTAATATTTTTCTTTTATTACTCATAATGTGCTTTATACAGTTGCCTATATATGTACATTTTGTACATCCAGCGAAAGAATATGCAGTTATGCGCAATGTGTAGAGTATGTTTGCTGCTTTTTTTTTTGCACTGATTCTGGAAGTATTAACTTTTGCTACTTCTAATCAGAGGAATAGACAGAGAGGAATTTAAGAAAGTGATGGCCCTGATGCGGATGCATAACAGGCAAGGTGCTCACCACAGAGATGGGATGAGAACTGGATTGAAGGTTTCAAGTTCTGTAGAGGACGGAGGACTCCTAGAGTACTTTTTTGGCAAGGATGGTGAAGGTCGCCTTGGACGTGAAAAATTTGTTCAATTCTTAAGAGATCTGCATAATGACGTATGTTTTTGATCCCTCACCTATATTTGGATTTTTTTTTTATTGAAGTAAAACATCTTCATCGTGTCTGGATCTACTCTCAAGGATTTCAAAAGTTGCTGCGTTCTTCTCAGTGAAGTAGTTGCTAATGCCTGGTAGCGTGAACCAAAAATATCCGCCTCAAGAGGCGACTGCTGTTATTTATGTGGTGCTTAAGCATCTCAGTGGAGTAGACTGATTTCTGAGTATGTATTTGAACATCTTGGCGACAGATTCTGCGGCTAGAGTTTGCCCATTACGACTGGAAATCACAGGGAACCATATCTGCTAAAGATTTTGCACTGTCCATGGTTGCATCTGCTGACATAAATCATATCAACAAGTTTCTTGATCGTGTTGATGAATTAAACAAAGAACCAAATCTCAAAGACGTGTGCATCACATTTGAAGAATTCAAGAATTTTGCTGAACTTCGGAAACGGCTCCGCCCATTCTCTCTGGCTATCTTCAGTTATGGAAAAGTCAATGGGTTACTAACAAAGCAAGATTTTCAAAGAGCTGCTACTCAAGTATGTCTACATAGTTATCTACTTTCAAATATTTAGTAAAAAGCAGTAGTTGATTTGGTATGTTGATAGTTGAATGTGATGGCATGGTTCCACTTGCATGCAGTAATATACCTTGTTTGTCCACAAGGTTCCTGTATTGTTTGTTAATAACCTCGGAAGGACATTCTAATAATCTATAATTATGTTGGCAAGTCATGTATGAAATAGCTTTGTCAATAGCAGGAGAACGATAGTTGGAAGAATATTGTATAACCAGTTTCATGTGTATTGACTCGATGCATTCATATGCGATTACAGCAGTTTAATGTACACAAATTTAACACATTTCCATATGTATACACTTACTGAATCGACCAATATCACAAGGGTCAAACAGTAAGGTTCATTCGTCCTTCTCCATAGGCAACTGTCTTTCCAAAAAAAAATCAGCTTTTGTCCTAATGACGAATTGTGCTTGGTCGCAGGTTTGTGGCATCTCCATCTCTGACAATCTTGTTGATCTCGTATTTTATATATTCGACACGAATCGTGATGGGAATCTAAGCTCAGACGAGTTTCTGAGGGTTCTTCAGAGACGGGAGTCGAACGCCTCACAGCCCAGGGGAGCAGGCGATAAGGGTTTGTTTTCTTGCTGGTTTGAATGTACAAAAAAAAGCTCTTCTTCAGAGATTTTTATTTGATTTTTCTTTTTCTTTTTTTCTTTTCTGCTTCAAATCGCAAACTCTTCGCACCAAAGTTTACACGGATGCAATTGTTTGATAGGGAAAAAACGAAAGTGTTTTATTGTAAAGGGAAAGTGGCTGTTTTTTAGTACCTCTTTTCCTTCCCTTTCTTGTGATGAGCTGCAGCCAAGGACCTGGTTAGTAATTTGATTGACAGACTGCATGTTGCAGTCTTGAACACACTTATTTAGCAAAGTCCATGGATTATCTACATCCATTATCGGTATTATTTTGGTAACTGATAATCGGGAAGTCATCTGCTCTAGAAAGGCTTCAGATTTTCAAATCCCAGCATTTGTGAGCAAGATTGTAAACATTCTAATCTAGAAGAAAAAACTTCTGATCTCAGCATTGATCAGTCAAATTGGAGAAAGTGCTAAAGAAATTGGTTGTCCTCCTCCACATTATAGGCTAGTTTATCTGATGAAAAATTAGAGAAATTTGTGGGATATATTCACCAGATCCCCCAGTTTTGTAATCATATACGTATCTGAGAGCAAGACCACCACAAATGAATAGATAAACAAAAAGAGCTGCCATTGCATTTGATTTGGATAGCTTCCAGGATAGTAGACTTCAGAAAGCTAACAATCTGACAAGTGACAACCCCCAAGGTAAAGATTGGTTGCAGGAACATTTTCTCATCGTCAGCTCTTTCTTGCCCGACTTAGAACTACCACTCACATTAGGAGGACACTAGCTTGTCGGAATGCCCATTCCATTAACTATATCATTTGCACCAGCAAGCAAGCTCTTATAATGCAAAGGGAAGTGGAAAACATCAAAGTCAGCCAAGCCCCAATTGTCATCTTAGAGGTATAGATCATCTCCATCCTAATAATTAATAAAGTTTCGCATCTTAAATTGGCATTCACCTCATCGTGCCAACTTAGTAGCATCCTGGAACCTGGACTTGGCTTTACTCTTGTGAAACTTTGAAAGGTGATTATTAGTTTCAAGAGAGCTATTTGCAGATACTGAAATATTACACTATTTTCTCAGCTCCAAGCTTAATGTGCCCCAGCCACCAAGTACTTAACAAATGAACCTTCACCTCATTTAACTATAGTTCCTCTGAAACTCTGGTAGAGATGCAAAACCATGGGCCTGCCAGCTAGGATTCAGTACCGATCGTTCATGATGATTAGCATCAGGGTCCCTATTCTGATGTCGGAAGCAGGAATAACCCAAAACACAAATGTAATGTGCAATGTATACCAACAGGGTGGCTGGCAGAAAAACAGCATATCAGAAAACCTAATTCAATTACGATTAATCAGATATATACAACTAACACAAGCCAAAATCTCACGCCCACAAGAACAGCAAAAAGCAGTAAACTAAGAAGCCTGATAATTACAGCAGTCAAACTATCTCCTCTCATTCGCCCTACCCAAATGGGAAGCAAGAGCATCTCTAATCCTCTTCCCACTCTCATCTACCTCTCCATCAAACACTGGAAACTCTTGATCTCTCGAGCACTCTGCATCTTCATCCTGCACTGCTTCACTGCACTTTATGAGAAAATTGTGCAGCAAACAACACGTAACAATTACAAATGGAAAAGCCTCAACACACTGCTCACTCCATTTCTTCGCCACAAGTTTCCACCTTTTTCTCACTCTCCCAAATGCCATCCTCACCAACTCCATCCCACTACTATGAACTGAATTAAAAGCCATTTCGGAGGAATTCAAACCAGCATTTTCATCCAATTTCTTATAAGGCGTTAAAAGCCAAGGCAATAGTGGAAAACAGGAGTCCCCCAAAATATATTGCGGGATTGAATTTCCATCACTAAGCTCAAAAGATGGCCCATTTAAGTACTCTTTCGTCTCCTCAACGCCCGACAAAAGCTTCGACTGTCGAAGAACCTTTTCGGGTGTCAGAGTGCTAGGCCACCCAGCTGAAACATCCAAGAATCTCCCTTCAGAGTCCACGAGAGCTTGCACTACCAAAGACCCGTTTTCACCCAATAAATCACCATCCAATTTGAATTTCTCCAACCCCAGAACGCCACAGCAATTTGGCAGAGAAATCCACCCAAAACCCACGATAATGCGGTTGATATCCGACTTAAATTCAAACAAATGACCGAGATTTTCATTGATGGCTTTGCAGACCGTGTAAAAGGCGCGGCAGGCGGCGGGTGAGTCAATGTTGAAGCGGCGGGAGACTGCAGAGAAGGAAGCGGAGTGAGCTAGCCGAAAAAGGGTGGCTGCAAGGGCGAAGTTAGGGGGAAGAGGAGAGAGGGAGGAGAGAGAAGGAGTGAGCAGGCGGAGGAGGAGGGTAAATGAAGGCTTGGACAGATTGAAGAAGTGGGTCCACCGGGGATCGTAGTCAGCAGCGGCGGAGGTGAGGAACCTGTCAAACCAACACTGTGCCGGCGGAGGAGGTAGTGGCGGCGGCGGGGGGAGTGATTCCGGACAAAAATAGGTGAGGGAGAGGAGTTTAGAGAAGCTGGTGGAAGTGGAACAAAGAAGGGATTCGAGGGAGAGAGATTGGGAGGGGAGGAGGTGAAGGTCTTGGTGGCGGAGAAAGGAAATGGCGCTGTAGGTAGCAGTGACGAGGTGGGGAATGAGGTTTGATAGGTCTTCATGGTGGTTACTACTGGTGGTGGGCTGGAGTGGGAGTGGGGGTGGGGGTTGGGGTGCAGTTTTGGGCTTTTTGGATTTGGATTTGGATTTGGATTTGGTTTTAGCTTTCTTTCTTCTTTTTCTGCCAGCGGTGGTGGCTGCCGCCATGATGGTGGTGGTTGAGCTGGTGGTGTATGCAAGTTTGGATCTTTTCTCAAGATGGTTCGGTGAAGAACAGTAGAGACTGTCCGGTAGGGCGTGGCCCCTCTTAGGCTCTTAGTGGCCGAGTTTTCTCATCTCTCGTCTTTCACTCGTTCTCGCGTTGGAAACTTTTTTTTTTTTAATCAGAGGCTAACAGTTAACCCAGCCTACTCCTACTCTTATGCCTACCCAACCCATACTCCTACTTTAGCCTATACAGGAGGAAGAGACCCAACCGGCCTAGAAAAAGTATCCCAGCAAAATGTGAGTCCAGCATATGAAAGATAAGATTTAAATCTTTAATCAAGCTTCAAAAAAAATTATTAGGTTGTGTTTGGATTACATTTTTCATGAAAAAATTACTGTAACGATTTGATGTATGTGAGGAAAAAAGGTAATAGAAAAATATAATCACAGAAAATGACGTAATTTTTTGATAAAAAATCACAATCCAAACAAGGCCTTAATCTCCCGTCTCACCGAAACTTAAAAGTCTTTGGTGACGATGCCCAATAGCCCCAAGCCATTGATTTGTCGTTGGACTTATACGAGGGAGGTCTTTATTATGGGCTTTAGATCTGCAATGGAAATACTCTTCGGTCTTCTAATCATCAAAGTTAAGAATCACTTTTGAAGAAGATAATTGCTTTGTTATTAGTAATGGTGTGTCAAAAGGAATTTATGACAAGATGGGAGGGGATAGGTTCCATGGTTCACGAGAAGGAATACTATAAATAAATTAAAAATTGAAAAGACAAGACAATGAATATTTTTTTTTTGAGACAACAACTGTTATATAATCTATCTATCCTTTGTATTAGAGGCTAGTAGGTACATAGATCTTACTCGACCAAAAAAGTGTTTTAACACAATTTTTGATTTTTTTTTTTTACTGTAGATGAGATTTGAAACTTCACTTGCAGAAGGTGGCCATTGAGCCAAGTTTAGTGATTGACAAGACAAATGAATGTCATGGTCAAAATTATAAAAGTTCATTTAAGGATTGTCTTTTTGCTTTTGATCATCGGACAATTCATTATTCTCACTAAAAATCTTATGCCATTTCAGAATAATTATTTGACTAGTAGGCCAAATATTGTCAATAGTCATTTTCATTGATTTTAAAGTAACTAGTAGGCCAATTTTTTTTTTTTTTATAATCTCGGATTGACATAAAATTTCCCGTTGTCACTCAAGTAAGAATTAATAATTGGGAGAACAAAAATATTAACGTTAGGAACTTAGGATAGATCTAAGGGAATCCGCTATTCTTGCTCCATTTTTTGCTTTTAGAGGATGGCAGAATATGTTTCGATGGATTATAGAGGATGGCAGACTGTGCTTACGTGTAAACCATAACTTACGTACAATAATTGTTTTAGCACACGGTGTAAATGACAACTTCTCGAAGCTGCAGCCTGGTAATTTTTTAGGGAGATGCCGGTACAATAATTGTTTCACAGTTCCGCTAGGGCTTGTCGTAGAGAATTCGAAGTCTTATCGTGCTACTTTTTTTTTTTTTGTTTTTTTCGTTGGAGACAAAATAAAAAACAGGAAAAAGTAGAAGAGTGATGGAGTTCACTCAATTTAGGCCACGCTTGGATTGCTTGTTTCCGTCGGAAAATATTATCGTTTTCCGTGATCACATTTCCCTATTACCTTTTTTCCTCACATATATCAAATCGCTACAGTAATTTTTTCATGAAAAATGACGAAAAATGCAATCCAAACACGGATTCCAACTCCAGACGCTCTCCTTAAGTCACATTTAGTACTTTCCAAAGAGGAGCACAAAATACAAACTACAAGCGGGGAAAGTAAATACGGGGTCAACTCAAGCCTTGGCCGCCAAGCTAATGCTAACCCACCAGCACCAGGATTCAATGTCCGTATAAACCAATGGGTACATATGACACTTAATCACTAATTTTAAGTCAGTTGGTCCTGGTCTTCTTCCTCGTCTTCTTCTGGCTGGCTACTCGTTTTCAGTACTTTCTCTTGTTCTGCTGCTGCGTCTTTTTCTTCCCCGGCGGAAAGATGGGCATGGCGAAATTGAAGATAGGAGGGGCATGGAGTGGGGTACTGGAAGTGGATTTAGAAGAATGGACTGTGGCCATGTTGAGAGAAGAGGTGGCCGAGCGATCGGGCTGCCATGCTGTGCCCCAGACGATCAACTTAATATCCGCGGGCAAAGTCTTGAGAGATGGTGATGGCACTGAAAAGCTCAGCCAACTGGGTCTTAAAAACAACGCTAAAATTTTGGCCTCCAGGGTCTCCGCTGATCAAGGCAAAGTGAAAGAGGAATTCTTGGCTGAAGAAGAGCGCTCTAAACGCCTCTCCAGGATCAAGTTAGTAGTGTTTAATCATGAATTTCTATCTGTATGCCGAACTTTTTAGGCT